ACGGTCATAATTCAAAAAATTTATAAGTCACAATTTGTTCATCGCTCACAAATAAAAAAATTGAAACGTCACAAATTATTTTACTATCACAATTCAAAAATTTTATATATCACAATTTGTTCATCGGTCACAAAATACAAATTTTACATGCCACAAATTATTTTACGATCACAATTCAAAAATTTTATAGGTCAATTTTTTTCATCGATCACAAATAAAAAATTCAAACGTCACAAATTATTTTACGGTCATAATTCAAAAATTTTATGTCACAATTTGTTCATCGGTCCGAAATTTTATGAGTCACAAATTATTTTACGGTCACAAATCAAAAACTTTATAGGTCACAAATTATTTTACAGTCACAATTCAGAAATTTTATAAGTCATAATTTGTTTATCAGTCACAGATAAAAAAATTTATACGTCACAATTTATTCGTTGGTCACAAATCACAAATATTATAAGTCACAACTTAGTAAACAATTACGAAATGTCAAATTATCGGTCAAAATTAATAACTTTTTAGGCCGCACGTTTTTTTGTCACAATTTATCTTTTTTTATTAGTCACATATTGTTGATTGGCCACGAGTTAACCAATTTAAAGGTCACAACCAAGCAAATCATTTGTGACCACCACCAACAAATATTGTTGATTGGTCACGAGTTACCCAATTTGAATGTCACAGCCAAGCAAATCATTTGCGACCACCACCTCACCAACAGCAACGCCACCAATACCGCCACACGTTGAACCACCACCGCCACACCCACAGTATCACAGAACTCACCGCACCACCGCCCCACCCACAGCATCATAGAACCACCACCGCCACCCACAACATCGCAGAACTCACCCAACCATCGTACCACCGCCACCCTTAACCCCTTCTTACCATCGCGGCACCATTGATCTAGCCAAACCCCCATCATTCACGGCTAGATCGTCGCTATTACAGATCGCCACCAGATCCGACCAAACCCCTATCATTTCACAGCCAGACTACTGTTGTGAACCACAGGCCGAACCACCACCGCCACACCCACAGCATCATAGAACTCACCACACTACCGCCCCACCCACAACATCATAGAACCACCACCGCCACACCCACAATATCGCAGAACTACCCAATCATCGCACCACTGCCACCCCAACCCCTTATTACCTTCATGACGCCACCAGATCTGCCCAAACCCCCATCATTCATGGCCAGATCGCTACTGCAGATCACCACCAGGTCCGACCAAACCCCTATCATTTCACGGCCAGATTGCTGCCGTGAACCACCAACCGCTTGTGCACCGCCAACGCCATAGGAAAGAAACTGGACATGGCGAAGAGAAATACAGGAGACGAATAGTGGCAGATAGTGGTGTTCCATGCTATACACAAGGCTTGGAGGTGGTCATTGACAACTGCGATGGCGGAACGACAATCCATTTGTGGAGGGAGAGGGAAGAGAGAGAAACAAGGGAGAGATATAATTAGGGCCTGTAATTGAAATTGTGTGGGGGTAGATTAAATAATTTCATAATATTATTATTAATATTAAAAGTTTGAATTAAGATCTGATTGTTGTATAAATAAACATAAAATCTGATTTTTGAATTGTGGTCTTTAAAATTCTGGTTGTATGTAATTTCCACTTTTTGGAATATAACTGCCCTTACCTTTTTCCCATAGGGTGAATCTGTTGTAAAACTAATAATTGGACAGGCATCTAATTTTTTTTTAAATAAAAGAGAGATCTCTATAATTATCATAAATATTTATGTAATTTGCTCTATTTATTATGTCCGAATTATTCTTACTCTAGTAATAACTTTTTCCTAAGTATTAGTACATGAAATTAAATACTTAATATTTTTGACCTATGAGAGAAGTTATAATCTGAAAAATTAATATTTTAGTAACACCATTTCAAAATTTTGAATATTAAAATTATTCTTTACTATTCTATGATAATAAGGTTAGGATATAGTTATTAATGTATTTAAATTAGTAAGGGTATTGTAAAAAAATTGGCATTCCCATTAGGTTAGGTTATGAGTCATTTTGTTGGTCAAACTCCATTAAGCAAATTATTTATCTTGACAGTTATTATTAAAATAAATAAATTTTTTATTCGACTTATGTTTACGACAATGAGTACTACATAGATAAGTATTACATTACTCTAATTAAACAGTTATTAATAATTAATGTCGTTTTCCCTTGTACACAAAATAGTTAATAACAATGATTTTATGTGCGATACGACTAATGGATTATCATAATAATTAGATATTAACAAAATTAACACGCTATGAATAAATAAACGATGATAGAAATAATTACGTGTGGGAACCGGAATCCATTACGAGCTGCTCGTTAAAATGAGTGAAAAAGACATTTTAGTACGAGTTAAGTCAAGTTTTGTTTGTGCTCAGGCCTCCCCACAAGCGAGTGCGAACCGGCAGTCCTAACGAGTCGAACTAAGTCTGACAATAGGCGAGTCGAGTGACTCAACTCGCCCACTTCTGTATCTAGATGTATAGGAATGGTACCGTATTTGACTTGACTAATATATAAATAAAAAGGTCATCATGAATCGGTCAAAAAAAAAAATCATCATATAATTACACAATAATTAATCATTACCAAGGTTACAATTTCTTTAACGTGCTAACAATGATGATAACCATAGCAATAATTTTTTTTTTTAATGTCAGTAAATAATAATTAATTTCGTCTTTAGTAAACTTCTAGACGGCATATTTAGACTTGGTCAATGAAGAAGTTTGTGGAAAATTTTAAGTTGATCCTTAGAATATTTTTCTTATTCATTTATTCACTAATGTTAATTACATTATACCATTGGTCGCCAAATTATTTTTGAATGATTTAATCACTAAAGTTAATTAATATTACACTATTGATTACTCTCTTAGAAAAATAGTGTCCAACATAACATGACATCCTTAAAATGTTGAGAAATCGTAGTAAATTTCAATAAACATCATTCATTCTCATTGTTCGTTTTGAGAAAATCTACAGTGAATGATTTGGGAACAAAACGTTAATTGTGTTTGAGTTGAACTTTCTTTATATCATTCTTTTATTTTTTGCACTAGAACTCTGAAAAAAAAAAAAAAAGAACTTGGGGCACATGCTTCAGTAACAGTGTGTCCAATGGTGTAACATTAATTAATTTTAGCAACTAAATAAGTTAAAAAATATTTAAAGACCAATTTGAGATTTTGAAGAAACTTTAGTGACCATTTATGAAATTAATCTATGCGGTGACGTATACACTGTGACACTAGCAATTTAGGACTCACTGGGGCAGGTGTCATCCGCCCGGCCATAAATTTATAACCACAGCTGTAATCCAAATGAAACAAAAGAACATTTAGTGATCGTTCAATAATTATTTTTCTCCTCTCAACTTCATAAATGTTATCATGTGATTTTGGCTTTGTCCACACTTTCACACACTTGTATGCACTTTGAAAGAAAAAGAATTCTTTGAGTAGAAAGAGCACATGACAAGGTTTTCTACGCAGGAGAGATGACGC